ATTGATGATAAAATCGAATCCTGGGTCGTGAACAGTGATTCACACAAAATAGCACGCTGCCAGCATTCAATCATAGTTTTCCTGTCCAGCAGGACTCAGGCTAAGAGCGTCCGGGGCACTCTCACCCTAAATAGAAGGGTCAACACCACCTTTTTCGTCGCAAATTTCAGTTAGAAAGCTTGACAAATGGCCTAATCAATCCAGCATGAAAGGGAGAACCATCACATGTGGAATAGGATCTATTACTGCATAAATAAATACCCATATATTTTGAACCGAAAGCACTAGATTTAAGCAGAGATTGAATTTTACAATTTTGATATGTTGTAAGTGGAAGGGTAATAGTAACCATGATTATCATGGCTCTTCCTGCTCATTGACTATTGTCAGAACTTTCAAATGGGACAGGTGATGAGGGACTTACCGCTTCTGCTTCAACTGCATCTGCTCTCTTGCCGGTAGCGCAGTAGCTAGTTTCGTTCCGGGGGTCGAAGAATCAATCTTGTTTCGTACGGGAGAGAAGGAGAAAGTAGATTAGAACTTTTTCATTTGATTTTGGTTTAGTTTTTTTATAAGGGAAAAATGAAAAGGCGAGTCAAAAAATGTTCCTCCCCCAACAAAAAAAAGGAACTTTATGAATAGCGAAAGCAGATGCACCAATGCCCGACCCGTCGTATATCAACAGATAATGGTTTCGAGGGTCATCCATTACGAAAATACTTTCCTCTGAGTGGATATGTGCCATCGAACCAGATTTGTCATGATAAGAGCTTTGATTTTGACTTGGATTCCTTACCTGGTGGAAAAAACCACTGGCGATTTCCGACAAGTCTATCTATTTTCGGGAGCAGAGCAGAATGGAAGGTTCGGCCCTTTCTTTAAAATTATTCCTCTTCATCAGTTTAGTAAAGGGTAAGGAGATTTAATTGGTTCGACAAAGAAGACAGCATAACCTGAAAGTAAAGATAGATTTGTCAATGCCCTCCACCCCGTCTGTATGTCACCTTCCCCTCGAAGTTCATTTCCAATACTGATCGTGAAACTTCATGAGCAGCAGGTAGCCTTACCGGCGTGTGAGGGGGTATGTCCACAAGTTCGGTTCGGTAAATCCTCTCTTTCCTTCGTCTCACGCCTTTTCTTGAGTCTAAGGCGCTGTAAGCCCTTGGTGAGTTCCTTTTTCTTAAGAGTGGTAGGGAGTGGGACCGAACTGTCTCACGACGTTCTGAACCCAGCTCACGTACCGCTTTAATGGGCGAACAACCCAACCCTGGACCGAACTGTCTCACGACGTTCTGAACCCAGCTCACGTACCGCTTTAATGGGCGAACAACCCAACCCTTAGAACATGCTACAGCCCCAGGTGGCGAAGAGGCCGACATCGAGTTGCCAAACCTTCCCGTCGATGTGAACTCTTGGGGAAGATCAGCCTGTTATCCCTAGAGTAACTTTTATCCGTTGAGCGACGGCCCTTCCACTCGGCACCGTCTGATCACTAAGGCCGACTTTCGTCCCTACTCGACGGGTGTGTCTTGCAGTCAAGCTCTCTTATGCCTTTGCACTCGAGGGTCAATCTCCGTCCGGCCCGAGGAAACCTTTTTCACTTTTCAAGCAATTCTATAAATCATTGTCAAATATTACCGCTCCGCACCTTAAGAAAAACCTCACCTGTCGATTAAAGAATTCAACCAACTAGTTAGAGATGGCAGCTTCAAACCCCACCTTAGATATCCAATCGAGTGCTTGCCTTCAAAGATATGTTTTCATTTCACAGGCGATTTAGCCCATTTTCCCTTTCCTGGTAATAAGGCAAGGCCTTTCCCTATTACGACCGCCTTCCTTTATTCGGAATTCATTCGTCGGATCTCTGAATAAAGAACAGAGAAAGCCTGGGGAAGCCTCCGCGACAAGCTCTCTTAGGGATGATGCAGGGAACCACAATGCTTCTCTGATGGTTGAGGGAAGCCTGGAAACGACCCAGGCTGGAATCAGAATAGTTGAGAACAAAGTGGCGAACGGGTGCGTAATGCGTGGGAATCCCGCTTGGATCACAACTAGACAAATAGAAGCAGAGCGACTTGGTAAGAAGAAATTTTACGATTCGACCGTATCCGCATTTTATTCGTTCCTGATATCGGCATAAATAAATGCCCATATATTTTGAACCGAAAGCACTAGATTTAAGCATAGATTGAATTTTACAATTTTGATATGTTGTAAGTGGATGAGAGGGATCTTCTCCCGCGCAGGTATACCCCCAAAAAAATGGCGAGGGCAAACAACAGATATAAGAACAGTAAGCATAGTTTAAAAAAAAAACCGCTTGTTCCCGCAGCGGGGGCGTTGCACGAAACCAAACCGCCCCCCGCCCGATTAAGTACCAGTTGCTTCGCTGGTAGACCCACTTAGGTTAGGGGGGCATTGTCCCTCAGTTCTTACCAACCTTAAGGGAATCAAAGATCTACGGTGAATTGGATTATGAGATTGGAACAACATCCAATCCTGATCTTCACTCTTCCTAATGTTGTCACACGAATTGCTCAAGAAACATATCTTTGAAGGCAGGCACTCGACTGGATATCCAAGGTGGGGCTCGAAGCTGCCATCTCCAACTAGTTGGTTGAATTCTTTAATCGACAGGTGAGGCAGATCTGACGGCGGTGCCCTAAGCAATTTCCATGACACACCAGAAAAATCATTTACACGAATTCATAATTCCTAAAGAGAGATTTAGTCCATTGAGTAGAAATAAATAGAATACCCTCTGGGCATTCCACTCAAACCCCTCCTGGTTCTACGGGGGTCGTCTGATAACTTAGGTCCAGCTCTAATCTCATTTTGGATTTGGATGCGAAAAAAAAGAACTAAGAACTTAGCCCCACCCACCAAATGGACCTCCATGAATCAACTCATAAACTTAACTTTCATCACAACTGACTTCGAACCAATCTTTCTGGCAGATCGCCCCACATGTTCCGCAGTTGCTTTAGCAGCATACCGAGAAAGACGAGACCGACCTTTTCTTTCCTCCAAAGAACCTGGAAAAGCGGGCCAGTACTGGGAATCCAGGGTTTCGGGTTCTTTCCCCAGTTTCACTTTGATATTCAGACTTGAGCTCGGCCCAGTTTGTTATATTATTATATTTTCGTTTTGGCGTTTATTCAATTACACTCACTCCTCAAAGGAGAGGCAAATTGAAACTCAAGAATATGGGGTTCAAGTGGTTACCTCTTTGGTCAGCTGGCGCGGTGTCTTGAAGGTGTGGTGGCCTTGCTCCTTTTTTTTAAAGACGCAGCAGAATTTTCAAACGGGACATCAAAAGTGGGACGTTTCCTAAAGAGGTAAGGTCGCAGAGAAAAGTCATCCGCTTCGGCGGTGGCAAGTAGCTTGGAAGGTGGAATCACTTCTCGGCAGAGAGGAGTTGAAGAGGAAACAGCTGTCCTAGAGGCCTAGACGGACCCCCGTAAAGGAAATCGAATCAACAGATCTTGAATCAGACACTTGTTGGTCTTCACATTCGGGTGTTGAGGCAAGCCAAGGTTCAGACCGGAAAAGAGATGTTATTCTTCCATTGGTTCTTGCTGCATCGGTTTGTTATGAATGTCGAGATAGCACAATGTTGAGAGGCTAAGATGAGATCACGCAGAAGAGGCTCACACAGTAATCCCAGGTGAAGATAGCATAGATCTTTCGGAAGAGGATTGGGGCACAGAAGCAGCTGTGGTTCCCATTCATGCGGAGAGGGCAGGCTACCCTACGGCATCTGACCCGCTAAAGAGCGTCTAGGCCTGGTTGACTGTAGCTCATCTTCCTGGATACACTTCGGAATCAGCTCTTTGAATTGGTCCCTAATGTATCAACGTTCCTTCTTTTATATTCTAGGAGTTGGATTGGTTTGGAGATTTGGTCTGTCGAATTGTTCGCCAATGTGAGATTCTTTCTATTAGAAGTATCTTATGTAGATCCAATCGATTTGGTCTGTCGAATTGTTCGCCAATGTGAGATTCTTTCTATTAGAAGTATCTTATGTAGATCCAATGATTCCACTGATTCTATCACTATGTGATATCTTTCATTGTATAGTGTAAGTTTGCTCCAAAACAAACCCTTTTTTTGTAGCGAAACCTAACCCATCAGTAGGTCTTACTAAGTGTTATTGCCGTAACAAGTATTTTTATTCATCCCCAATCGCGGTCTTTCCCTAGTATTTAGTACTCGATTCTTTTTATTTCGGAGAGGATCCGCGGGTATAGTACAGATTCCAAGTTTCTAATTTTTTGAGTTTTTGGTATAGAAAGATATGAGTTGTTATATGTAAAGGTTCCTCGCAACTCAACGGATTGAATCAAATCAATAAAATAAAGTAAGGAAAATAGAGATGAAATCTAGGACAAGGAGGGGAGATAAAATAGAATCGTTTGATGTATTAGATTATGTTTACATATTCCTATCGAATCAATAGAGGCAACGATTCTCTACCCGGATTTGAATGAAAAGAATAAGAATATGCTATAAATCCCTAGTCACTTTACTCTAATGGAAATGAAATAATAATTAATTAACTTAAAATAATTAATTAACTTAATAATATTATAGTTATATTAACTATAATAACATAATATAATATATATAAAATAGTTAAACCCTGCAAGTAGATAATTGAAGAAGTTGGTTCAGTGAGGCTTTTTCAAATTGTCATTCTTGAATTGCATTTTGAAAATGGAGCTTAGCGAGGACGCCAGCTAACAAGGCCTTCAATCGGAGCCGCAGTCGAATCTGCCGATTTATTCAATGCGGGAATTCGACCTGCTATTAATGTAGGTATTTCTGTTTCCAGAGTAGGACAGAATGTGATACGATGAGATAGAATGCAATAGAAACAAAGACAGAGAACGGGTTACCTACCCCTAACGGTCAAAGCGAGCCCTTTAATTTCATAAATTGAGATTTTTTCTACTGGCTTGAAGAAAACTCCTACTGAAGTTCCACAAAAAGGACGAATTTCAATTACTTCAAAATCAACTTTGATGTCCCATTGTGCTTAGCCCCTACCAACATAGAACCCATTAATAACCAAATTAAGAACAAATAAACTAAGAAACCTACACTGAAATCCCTATATCTTCAACATCAACCATGATAAAAATGTGATAAAAAACAAAATCAACCAAATGGGTACCTGAGGAGTAGTTGAAAGCCGAGATTTGAGGCTGAGCCAGGGGATCAGAGTTGCTAGGGTACCTTGAATTCTTTATCTTGCACTTCTTCAAAGGCTTTATGTGCAACATCCTTTGATGTGAATGAAATAAAAGCAAAACCCTTGATTTTCCTTTTTTCCTTGTCCTTCACCAACTTTACCTGCCAATGTCAACAAAAACAAAGATTAAATTTTGTTGTAACACCACAAATATGAAATATCTAACATGACAATATCTAACCTCAAAAATTTCACCGAAGGGTTCACAAAGCTCTTTTAGGTCCTCCTCTGTTGCATCACAGGGAAGCCCACCAATGAAAACTTTTGACACATGAGGGGGAAGAGAGAACAACTTAGCATGTTTCTCTCTCTCAGCCTCATCTATTGGCTCAACGGCATTTTCCTCATGTGTCACAGAGTTAGAAGCATCCATAGTTTCATCAGGCTTAGAAACTTTATCACGCACCTCATCTTCAGAGACATTATCTTGTGCATCCTCTTTGCAGTCATCTCTGACTCTCCTATAGCTATCATCATCATCTGCTGGATCTTGCGCCTCAAATTCATCTCTTATTCTCCTATAACTATCATTTCCTGCAGAATCTTGCTCTTTGTATTCATTTCCGCTCATGTATCCATCATCTTCTACAGGGTCTTCATCATCCATCATATCGTCAATGTCATTATCTCCATCAAGATCAATTTTCTCTTCAGGTTCTTCTGATGCATGTTGGTCAGCCATGGTTATGTATTATATCACCTTTATCCTATTGCATTTGCTTCGAGCCTTAAAATGAAATCATTAGCACATAGTTAGAGCCTATTGAACACATCAATTATTTAGGAAAGATAGCACAGACTGTGAGAAACTAAAAATGGGTATGGGGCTGTTGCTAACATTATCTTAAGCTATCTTTTTAGTGTATGCCAAAAGAGAAAAACCAATTTTGGCATTTGTTTAGTCAGAAAGCACATCAATTTTTTTTATTTATAAACTTCCTCTAATATCCATTGGCTATATGAGGCTTCCTTTCTAAAATTTTGATTAAGGCTTTGCCACAAACACACGAAGGGCAAAATACATCTACAAAGAGCGACAGCCAAACAACCAAATGAACCCTAAAAAATAATCAAATATTTTCTTTTTATATTACAATCTAAATCCATTTTAGAAATTAAGCTGTTCCAGTTTAAGGCAACGAAGAAAACATGATCTATTTCTCATTGCAACTTCCAAAAGAGTCAACAAATGGAATTATGCACTTTAAAAAAGAATGAAATTCACAAATTTCGAAAAAGGGAGAAAAAAAATAATCCAGTCATTTATTCGCTCTTCGATAAGAACTCAAACAACTGTTCTTGTTGCTGCTATGCTGATTCATCGCAGAGAACTCAAAAAAACCAAAAATGGAGAGGAAAATAGAAGAAGAAAGGATTAGGGTTAAAATTAGGATTTTCGATAAAGGAATGAAAATTTAAAGAGCTACTACAACTGATTGTCGCTTGTCCTTGCTGCTTAATCCTCGTCGTCGTCGACTCTCAGTCGTCGGAGTTTCGTCGCCGCAAAGCCCTAGGTGGGAGACAGATTTGAAGATGGAGGTTCTGAATTGGGATACGTAGAGAAAAGAGGGGATCTCGAAAGGAGAGGTTGTTTAGAGAGAAAAGGGGTGGTTATTAGACAACGGTTCTAAAAAGAATGACGAGTTTTCTAAAAAGCAGGGGGAGACCTGGGAGTTAGAGGTTGGTTTAGAGTTGGTTATTCTTTTAAGAAGAAGTGGGAGTATTTTTCAGTTATTTTGGAAAAAAGTGGAAATAAAGTTGGTTAAGGACTGAATTTTTTGAAAGTAGCTTGGTTATTCATTTTATGTTTTTCATTGTTAACAACCTTATGTTACTGTTCGTTTTAGCTTTTTGGTTGTTCTCTTTTAGTAATAAAGAAGTAGATACCCTTATGTTTTTTTAAGCATCTGGACTATTGTATGGAATTATATAAGGTTCGATCTTCTCATGTAATGAAATGGAGCAATTTTATTCTAGAGACAAACAGAATTAGTTATCTTGTCAGCAATTGTCATGTCCCAGTCCCCAAAAAGGCACATGAGGGGCATGTGACTTGACTGGCGATGCAACTATAGGAAGTGAACCCTCTCTCATAGCTACATTCACGCCTCTAGATTAACAATAAGTAGGATCCATTACTAATTATTCTCAATAAGGCAAACCAGAAAAATAATCACCACCAAAAACTATGAGTGTGCTATAATTATTAGAAACCAAGTAGAATATATATTCGTCAAATTATGTCATGGACTCTTTCTCTCTCTACAAATCATACATAAACTCCACTGTACAAAAACCATACCTCTCGCTCTTGCTAATAACATCAACTCAATAGTTACAAAACTCTCAACTATAAAAGTTAAATATGTGAATCAATATGTAAATTTCATCCTCACCTCATCCCTCCATATAACCTGATTTGTCCATGTAACAAGCCACCACCCAAGAGCTGGAGGACAATTCCAAGATTGCCAGAGCAATCCAACAAGTGTTCCAAAGAAGACATAGAACAAGAAAAGGGTATGTGAACAATATGCATGAACTAATAATAAAAAGTAGAAATAGTTCAAGATACAATAACTAGTGTGAGAAATGACGAGATGATGTGATAGTGAAAAAATAGAGGACAAAGAGCTAAGTGTTACAATAGGTACTGGCTTCAAGGTGTGAGACACAAAGTAAATTAAAGCCACTAAAAGTAACCAACCATAATGTAAATATAAACATAGTATGTAAAGGAAAGCTACATCTGTGCATGTTACATGCATCGTGAAGGAGGAAAACACACTAATAAGTGTCTACCAGGAAGGTCAATACACACACAATCCATTACAAAATTAGCATGTCTATCAACAATTAAAATATTGTCTTTTTTTAATGTTATTTGAATTAGAGGTGAACATTTCAATACATATAAGTCAGTCTTCCCGTAACACGTCCCGGAAACACGGCTTCAAGTCAAGTATTGGCCATTGGCCCTTATATAACTCATGATGTCAAGAATGCGCATGAACTCACTTATATGCACTTTATATTCTCCATCCAATTCTCCTTTATTAAACCCCATATTTATCAGTTTATTAAAGTGATTGTATATGAAATGTTATGCACTAACCACAAATTTACCGTGGAACGACTTCTGTAAAACTATGAAAAATAACCGTGGCTTAGAACATGTCTAATCAAGATGAGTGCACCGTCTAGTTAGTGCTATAATAAACATAATAATAGTCAAGAGAAAATCCTCACACCGGGACATCGATGTCGAGGGTATAGCCATACTATGATAGCACGCTCATACATATTTTGACGGAAGTTGTCTTCATGCACAATTGACCCTATTACATGCATTGTTTTAAATATCCCCGACATGACCCGATATATCCCCCGATATATCCTTTTACAGGGCTTGCCGCAACCGATATGGTCTTTAAATATCCTTTACCGATTTTTGGCTATTTTGAGTGATAAATCTCCGATATGACCGATATATTAGCCGATATGTGGACCAATATATCTTTTTATATAGCTTGTTGTAAAATAATATACCGTGTTTGGAATTTTTGGGCGAGATATCAAGATTTTCCCATTATATCAAATGATATTTTGCCCTAAAAAAAGTAGATCGAATGTTGCAACGTTGCTTTGCACTTTTGTTTGTTTTAGAAGGTTGATTAGTGATCCTAAACATATATTATTCATATTTTGTATGTTTAAATTTTATTACATATGTTGAGATTATATTTTAATGCATTATACTATGTATGCAAACATTCATTATGACATTCCGATATTTACCACATATTCCCGATATTTCCCCGATATCCGCAATCCGATATGAATTTTGGTCATCCGATATTTCCCCGATATCCGATATTTAAAACCTTGATTACATGTCTCAAAGTCATCAAACATGGTATCTGGTAATCAAACACATCACCAAATGACATATGTTCATTTATCTTAACAAAAAGAAATAAAAATAAAAATACATAACATAATTGTTTAGTGTTAAAATTGGGTCAAATGCGTTTCGTTCGATAGCCTAGAAATCCACAAACATGATTTTGGTGAGCAAGAGGCTTAAATGGGTCTAAAATTTGAGTTATAACCTCAAACGGGTCTAGTATGATGATAATGGGTCCTGACCGGGTTAGGTTTAAGTTCAAAATAGACCTAACACAATTTTGGCATAAAAAGAAGGACAAAGCATACAAGCCAACTAACCACCGCGCCAATGGCTTTTTTGTGTCAAATCCATTTCTAAAAACTTTAATTACAGTATTAAGTTATAATCCTAAAGAAAAAATAGAAATTAAAGATGAGTAAGGTATGGGGGATTTAGAAAACTCAAATTTCTGTTACACATAATAATATTAGAAATGAAATTATTAAAAATAATTTTATTTCCAGAAAGGGAAATTTATACATAAATAGAAGATATGTTTTAGTGAGAAAAATCATTTGTTGTCACTAAGTGATTAAGCAAGAGTCTCATATTCAGTGTACATGCCAAACTTTATGCAAACTATCTGACATAAAAGGGATACTACATTAACTGTGACAATCTAACCCATCCAGACGTTGTGTCCAATACAAACATATACTCAACTGGTCTTTAGAACATATTCAAGAACTTCAATGTGAAAAATAATTAAGCTAGTCTAAAGTAATCACAATTTAAAAGCACTTTATTTCAAAATAAATTAAAAGAGATTAAAAACAAGTATCTCAGAGGTTAGGACAAAATTTGGTTTATTGGTCAAATGTTTATTGATTGAAAAAGAATCAAATCTTGTATTTGAATAACTTTCTAGAAAATACTCACTCTTTAAGAAAACAATTGGATTTATGAAAATAAAATGGTTATATAAGGAAGGACCCCCTTTTTTTACTTATAATCTTCTATGTAGATCCATTTAAACTAAATCAGACCCATTATTTTGATTTAATAACCTATAAATTTCATAATAATCAATAGTTTTACATAAATTGTACTACACTTTCATGTGTCTACGGGACTTGCAGAGAACATTATAGAAATTTATGTATGAAACTTATACCAATAATACCAGTCTTTTGTACATGAACATAGCCAATAGTTGTATAGGAAAAAGAAACAAAGAGACTACAAATTTGAACCCAATCTTCAATCTATTTACAGCTCTTGCCATCAATCTATTTACAGCTCTTGCCATCAAACCTTTTTTAAGTGAACAAAAGTCATTTGGCTTATGTATGACCCGTTTCTCTCTAACAACTAATGACCCAAGATAAAGATTAATAAAAAAAAAATACTAGATGTGCAATCAAATCATGATAGTCGGTAAGTCGAATTGCCAATAGATGTATGTTTATGGAAAAATAGATTTGGATGTTTGTTTATCAGTCATGCAAGAACAAGACTAAGATAACGAATAGAAGTTTCAGATCAGACATTTAAAAGAATTTTCGAGTGAAAGAAAAAGAATCATAAGGAAAGTAAGACTAAAATAAGGGATGAGTAAACAACGCCAAACAGAGAAGAAATGAACACTTGTTTGCAATTCTATCTAATTAAAATCAAATCCCTATAGCCAAATTTTCTTCTCTTTCCATCGTGCTACCGAGCCCAAAAAACTTTTATTCTCATCTTTTTTTTTCCAACATGAATATATAACGGCAAGAATAGAGAGATTTGAGGAGGTAGTGCAGATAGGGAGAGCAACAAGGAAGTTGTTGGGATTTCTTAAGAATAGGGATATTTGGTTAAGATGTTAAGGATTTAAAATCAAATTCATGACATAATATGGGTTTTTGGCGTTTGGGCCTTAATTACTTAACATGACAAATGTGTGACATAAACATTTTATCGCTAATAATGTTTGTGGACCTTAAGGTAACATCATCTAAGAAAAGAATGAGAAAATTCAGATGTGGGTCCAAAGGAAATAAAACAATTTTTCGATAATAGGCCCAAAACTAACATTAGGAAGAAGGATGTCTGGAAATGAATAGAAGCTTATAGGTCAAGTTTTCAAAATGACATAAAGCATCTATGGACCAAAGGCAGATTGAAAACATACAAGGTAGATTCAGCAGTGGTTGTTACAGCAATCCTATTTGGATTAAATTTAGACTATTGGTTGTTGTTTGCACAGAGAAGCTGAAGTCCGATTCCTTAGAATTCAACGAACTTTGTGGCTCTTCGTGTACTTATGAATGCTTCAGGTGTTCATTTGCACAAAATCATTAGTACACGAAGTATTTCAACTATTATACAACATGTAGGTTGAGTAGTAACAAGCCAAGTACAAATAGAGTGTCAAGTTAGTGCTCAAGATTCACGATCGAAAATGGTGGAAATAGAGAAGGAGTTGATATTGCAAAGTGATATACCATTGGACTGTAGGAATCGAAGTGCTAATGCAAAAGGCAACCAGCCACTTAAGTTCACCTTAGTAAATCCTAATATAAAGTAATATATCCTAAAGGTAGAAAGCTAAACATAGACAGGTCGATGTTAAATGTATATCAACTAACTGAATCAATAATGCATATGTATAAATAAAGATGCGAGCATTATCTGAGTGATATCCAAACACTCACTCGAAAGATTCAATCAGAATAACAGGTCCCTTGCTGGAACTAAAATTATGCCTGATTTCAATAATGACTCTAAAATAAGTCCAAAAAATATTAAAAAATCCTAAAGTAAAATAAAATAGTTAAAGACTTAAAGATATTATGTAACAAATGACTCAATAGCTAATATAACAAGTGACATTATGTAGCAATTAACTCGTCTTTTTCTGCTTTGTATCACAATTCACAACTGGAAACATGATCAATTATCACTAAGTAAAAGAAAACATTACTTTCTCCTAGTTCAAATCTGAAAAGAACTGTGAAAATAAAATATTATTCTGCATGGATGCACACTAAGAAGCATGAATATGGAACATGCGAAATGAGAGTTCCTTACATGGAACAAAGACCCTGGGAGATACTAGCTATGTATAAATAACACAATGAAACTGAGTATACACATATAATTGGAACAAGAGACTCAGGGAGATGATACTAAACTATTTATAAAAAACAAAATGAGTAATTAAGTATATGCACGTGTGTATTATATACATATATGTATATGTATATGTGTATATATAGGCACATCCTTAATTCCTGAAGCCTGCACATATTCAGTATGATATAATACAGACAATGATTGCCTATGCCTAAATCTCTAAGCAATTACTATTTTTTATGATTGAACCTCGACTCATCCTCTTTCTATAGAGGAGCTCAATGTTCCTGAAATGTTAGACTGAACCATATCAAAAGTAATCTTAGTTTATACAAGTCTATCTTTGACTTGTTTTTATTGAAGTATAGACTACATATATATGAAGTGAACTCATATGTCAAATACGACGCAAACAAGAGTTGTATGAGATTTGTAGAACATGTGTCCAAGAAGTGTTTGGCAAACATTCTCAATTATAATATATTATATAACTGAGAACGCATTAGGACTTGTCCGAGCATTTTAAACAAATTGTCTGATCATATCGACAATTTCCAATAGGTGTTCATGGAGTGTGCAAGAAGTGCCAGTGTCGGACACATGTACTCCTTTTTGACTGAAGTATCAACAGACTCCATGCTGTATATGATGCATTACGTATATATGATATATCTTCTTCAAATTTCAGTTGCTTGTGTTTTCTAGTTTAAAGCTAATTTCAAAACCTTGCAGTTTGATTGAACCGTGTCTTGTGTTTATTCTACAGGATGCTGATTCATCAGCTAGAAAAGCTGAGGCAGCTAGGAAACGTGCAGAAGACATTGCCTTAGGAACAGTGCAGATGAATGGTCGCGAGCTCTTCCTCCATGAACCTTGGGTATTTGATAACAATCAATATTGAAAATTCTTGAGGTCAGTATTTGTGATAGACTGCAGTAGGCAGTTTCATATCTTGTGTTTATTGTGCGTTGTGCAATTTTATTCCACGTGGACTGATTTGATTAACTTTATATATTTGCTGCTATATTTTGTAAGTTCTTGATCGTAGGATAAACACAATAGTTAGCACAGGACAATTACAGCCTTCATTCATCACCTGTACTTGGTATAACCTGGATTAGAGTAAACCTTGTGTGCAGCTTTCCTTATTATGAGCTTGTCTTTTTTTCCCCTCTTCATTTTCTCATAAATTAGGACCATAGTCTTGCTCCTCCCTTTTGACATGGAATCATCAAATGCAATTGATGTTTGAACTGGAACTCAAGGCTTTTAATGCTAGTGTACATGAGGTGAATCAACGCCCGTGGTTAGGGTTCACATTTCTCTTTATTTTACCGTTTCTATAGATAATTAACTTGAGATGATGATGCTCAGATTTCCTTGACCATTGATCATCTATCATATTAAATTGTTTGTACTGCAGCTTCTCTTTTTTCCAGATTGTTCTGTGCCATATAAAAGTATAGCAACTAACGTCAATGTTTTCCCTTTTTGAGATCAATGAAGGAAGTTAGTCTAACCCATACTAAGACATTTGATTAAGCATACAACAGATACACAAAGCAGTTATTACAAGTAGCAATAAAACAAACTTATGTCGAGCTGGTACATTGAACTTTAATATTCATCAGCTGTAGTGCTAAACAATCCCTTTAGCAACACTATATAGTATATACTATAGATCTCTCCAGAATCCATCAGGGATCAATACTGTAGAGTAAACATGAAGCTGCCACAATTTTGCGCAAAGTTTTTCTGTTCCTCATCTAGAGAGAACAGAACCATCATAATGAAACCTCAGAGAAATCTGAAATGAGATTTAGCACATCTTATCCTCCAAATAGTCCTTTGAAACATTACGAATGTGCAAACAATTACTTCTAAAACGAGCCCTCTTCCTTCTCATTTTATTTAGCATAGCAACTTCAAAAGATTCTTTCACACGAAAGTCCTCTATAGTTATTGCCCTGTATTTAGGAAACCAAAGCATCCATCCGTTCAATCTTCCAGACTAGAGACCACTGCATCCTTTTCTCAAGCTAGATATATAAATTTAGGAACAGTATTTGGCAGTGAAGCTTCAGCCCGAATTTCTTTCCAGAATTTAATAATTTCTTCTCTAATGCATACGGATATTTTCTGCAACTCTTAATAAGAACTGAAACAGTTGTGGTATTTCAAATTGAGTATTTGATATTCAAACTCAGCCATTTTGTTTTAGTTTTTCTACCTCATTCTGTGTTTTGGGCTTTTGGCTTATTTCCTGCTAGTAATTGGATGCTATATTTGTTATGTCATTCCTTTCAATTGCGTCCGGTAGGCGTTAGCTCTTCCCTTAAAGAAGTTTGCAGGTTTCATTTTATTGATATTTGATAGAGTATCTAGCATCTAGATAGGTTTGCAATAGCATATAACCTTTTTATATCAAGGATGCGTTGCTAATATAATCTTCAATTGTTTCAATATTTTCTCACTTGGAGATGACAATAGACAATAGAGTTCCACTTATGAGAAGTTTTCATGTGTGTCATGATAATGTTGAAGATTCTCATCCTCTCACCTTACTTTTTCTGGCTCCAGGAGAATTGTACATCAAATACAGTGTTCTCAGTTATTTGTCATGATGGCAGTTAGTTTTTTTATTTTATTCAAATAATTTTCAACTGTTCTGTCAACCAGTATTTAGTTCTGGAGGACAATTGCTTGTGTTCCTTTATAGGACAAAACTTCAAAACACCCCTATTTGCAAACTTAATCCCAAAAACCAAACTGTTTCACCTTTATTTGCAAAAAAACGACCTGGTTTCAGCCCTGAGGCTGAAACAGCCATGAGGCTGAAACCAGGTCGGTTATTGAAAAAAAAGTTAACAAACTTTACGGGAGTTGAAGTCCCGTGAAGTTTTTTACATAACAAACTTCACGGGAGTTCAACTCATGTGAAGCTTTGTTATGAAAAAAACTTCACGGGACTAAAAAACTTCACGGGACTTTTAACTCCCGTGAAGTTTGTGAACTTTTTCTGAAACTAGGTCGGTTTTTGCAAATAAAGGAGAAACAGGTCGGTTTTTGGGATTAAGTTTGCAAATAGGGCGGTTTTGAAGTTTTGTCCTCCTTTTAATCTTATATATTAGGTCATTATTTTTTGTGTTCATCTTATTTTGCTGTTAGCTACCTTCTAATGTCAATCAAGAAGACAGCTTCGATGCTTTATTCCTTTTGTATGAGACCCTCTGACCTGTCCCTGTTTATTTTGCTGCAGCATAGATTCGGATGTATCAAGCTTTAGGGCTGCATTTGAGAGGTTACCAAATGGGAGTAACGGTAATTTCTTTGCCTAAGAGATCGGTATATGTGGCGTAATCAGACGACATGATGACGAAATCTATTATGTCGCTTTTTCTCTCTTTTAGTTATATATGTGACTATGCTGTGTGTTGAGAAGCAGGGGGAGAATAAATCAACTCTATATTCTATGGATTTTTTTTTCTCTCTCTTCTCAAATAAGGGCAATTATTTGGTCTTGAGCTTACCTGGCCCCTGCTTTACTAGGAAACGGGAACTTGGTAACATCCCATGATAAATTGTTTGTTATGACACGAGATATCACACAAATACATAAAAAACCCTAAATGGATTAAGTTGATGAATTTGAAGCAGTTTCAAGTGCATAGCATTTATCTTTTATTCCTCATGCGTTGCGTGTGACCTTTTCCCCCCCAATTAGATAGGATTTGTATATCTTTTTAGTCCAGTTACAGTCCAAGTATAAAGAGAATCTGCGTGAAAATGCAATGAGTTTCAATGTATAGAGCAGGGCAGAGAATGTCAACTGAGGGGAGTTAGTACAATCAGTTGCTTAAGAATTCAGCTTGATGTATTTATTTACCAACCCAGCTCCACTCCAGCCAAAGGTTCTCTGCTCAAAGTGGGGTAAAGAAGCTGGAAGTCACAGTGCAGACTGCCCTACTGTCTTCTGTCAGTACGGTCTTCAGATAAACAGCCCCATTACTACAAACTGCACTGGATAGCCAAAGAAAAAGTTGTCAGATAACATCATCTACCTCTGAGCTGCCATAATCTTTGTGTTTGTTGAAGCCTGTGACTTGTGAGGCCTTCATCAGACCAATGTCGAAATAAAGGTCGAATTAGAGCTAATTATGCGGTAACCTACTTTCATGGGGATTAGTGGAGCGTGTCAAGATTAATGTATTAAGGGCAGATGGTGATCTCACGATATTTTTGACTCTATAATTTTGTGTTCTTTTTTCTTTAAAATCAAACTTCTACTTTTCTTTGTTAATGAATCAAGGTTGGTCTAAATTTAATTCAAGCCCCTTGGTTAGTGAACTACATAGGCGACTGCAGACTAGGAAGTGAGTGTATATACTTTAAAGCTTTCCCTCTAGAAGGAAAGTAGAGTGCTTGCTTGTGATGATCATAAGATTATAATTAATGGAAAAAAATGAGTTAAACTGTGTTGCTTCCTTTATTTTTTTGCTATGAAGATAGGTTCTTGGAATATTAGAGGTCTTAATGGCCCTGCTAAGAGGAGATTAGTTAAAGACTGTATTATATTCTCAAGAGTAGACATAGTTGGTATTCAGGAATCCAAACTTAATTCCGTGAAAACTAGAACTCTGCAAGCCATGGGTGACAATAGAATTAACTCTTGGCTAAATCTAGATGCTGATGAGTCTAGAGGTGGTGTGCTTTTAGGATGGAATAGTAACATCTATGACTGCATTGATTCCTCCATATGTATTTCTTTGTATCTGCGGTTCTCCTCTATAAACCCTCCAACTAGAGATTTGTGGCAAACTCAGTCTCTATGGACCATGAAGGAGAGAGGATAGAGAAGTCCTATGGTGGGAAATTAAAAGAATCTATTCTGCCCTCCCATTGCCTTAGATCCTTGTGTTGTTTCACCTTTATTTGCAAAAAAACGACCTGGTTTCAGCCCTGAGGCTGAAACAGCCATGAGGCTGAAACCAGGTCGGTTATTGAAAAAAAAGTTAACAAACTTTACGGGAGTTGAAGTCCCGTGAAGTTTTTTACATAACAAACTTCACGGGAGTTCAACTCATGTGAAGCTTTGTTATGAAAAAAACTTCACGGGACTAAAAAACTTCACGGGACTTTTAACTCCCGTGAAGTTTGTGAACTTTTTCTGAAACTAGGTCGGTTTTTGCAAATAAAGGAGAAACAGGTCGGTTTTTGGGATTAAGTTTGCAAATAGGGCGGTTTTGAAGTTTTGTCCTCCTTTTAATCTTATATATTAGGTCATTATTTTTTGTGTTCATCTTATTTTGCTGTTAGCTACCTTCTAATGTCAATCAAGAAGACAGCTTCGATGCTTTATTCCTTTTGTATGAGACCCTCTGACCTGTCCCTGTTTATTTTGCTGCAGCATAGATTCGGATGTATCAAGCTTTAGGGCTGCATTTGAGAGGTTACCAAATGGGAGTAACGGTAATTTCTTTGCCTAAGAGATCGGTATATGTGGCGTAATCAGACGACATGATGACGAAATCTATTATGTCGCTTTTTCTCTCTTTTAGTTATATATGTGACTATGCTGTGTGTTGAGAAGCAGGGGGAGAATAAATCAACTCTATATTCTATGGATTTTTTTTTCTCTCTCTTCTCAAATAAGGGCAATTATTTGGTCTTGAGCTTACCTGGCCCCTGCTTTACTAGGAAACGGGAACTTGGTAACATCCCATGATAAATTGTTTGTTATGACACGAGATATCACACAAATACATAAAAAACCCTAAATGGATTAAGTTGATGAATTTGAAGCAGTTTCAAGTGCATAGCATTTATCTTTTATTCCTCATGCGTTGCGTGTGACCTTTTCCCCCCCAATTAGATAGGATTTGTATATCTTTTTAGTCCAGTTACAGTCCAAGTATAAAGAGAATCTGCGTGAAAATGCAATGAGTTTCAATGTATAGAGCAGGGCAGAGAATGTCAACTGAGGGGAGTTAGTACAATCAGTTGCTTAAGAATTCAGCTTGATGTATTTATTTACCAACCCAGCTCCACTCCAGCCAAAGGTTCTCTGCTCAAAGTGGGGTAAAGAAGCTGGAAGTCACAGTGCAGACTGCCCTACTGTCTTCTGTCAGTACGGTCTTCAGATAAACAGCCCCATTACTACAAACTGCACTGGATAGCCAAAGAAAAAGTTGTCAGATAACATCATCTACCTCTGAGCTGCCATAATCTTTGTGTTTGTTGAAGCCTGTGACTTGTGAGGCCTTCATCAGACCAATGTCGAAATAAAGGTCGAATTAGAGCTAATTATGCGGTAACCTACTTTCATGGGGATTAGTGGAGCGTGTCAAGATTAATGTATTAAGGGCAGATGGTGATCTCACGATATTTTTGACTCTATAATTTTGTGTTCTTTTTTCTTTAAAATCAAACTTCTACTTTTCTTTGTTAATGAATCAAGGTTGGTCTAAATTTAATTCAAGCCCCTTGGTTAGTGAACTACATAGGCGACTGCAGACTAGGAAGTGAGTGTATATACTTTAAAGCTTTCCCTCTAGAAGGAAAGTAGAGTGCTTGCTTGTGATGATCATGATAATGCTCCCTTAATGGAAGAGATTACCTTGAGTACAACTGGATGGAAGATTATGGTTCATAAAACCGACCTCAAAATAGGTAATGATAATGCTCCCTTAATGGAAGAGATTACCTTGAGTACAACTGGATGGAAGATTATGGTTCATAAAACCGACCTCAAAATTTTGGGATAAAGCTTTAGAAGTAGAGAGGGCCAAGCTGACCTCCTAACCTCGTTAGGATGGTCACTGGCTATGTTGTCTGTGTTGCTTCCTTTATTTTTTTGCTATGAAGATAGGTTCTTGGAATATTAGAGGTCTTAATGGCCCTGCTAAGAGGAGATTAGTTAAAGACTGTATTATATTCTCAAGAGTAGACATAGTTGGTATTCAGGAATCCAAACTTAATTCCGTGAAAACTAGAACTCTGCAAGCCATGGGTGACAATAGAATTAACTCTTGGCTAAATCTAGATGCTGATGAGTCTAGAGGTGGTGTGCTTTTAGGATGGAATAGTAACATCTATGACTGCATTGATTCCTCCATATGTATTTCTTTGTATCTGCGGTTCTCCTCTATAAACCCTCCAACTAGAGATTTGTGGCAAACTCAGTCTATGGACCATGTGAAGGAGAGAGGATAGAGAAGTCCTATGGTGGGAAATTAAAAGAATCTATTCTGCCCTCCCATTGCCTTAGATCCTTGTTGGGGACTTTAATGTGACTCTTAGTCTAAGGGAGAGGAAAGGTAGAACTAGTTCTATTAGTGACATCAACTCCTATAGAGCTTTAGTTGACTCTCTGTTCCTCATGGACATCCCTCTTAGTGAAAGACAATTTACCTCGTCCAACATGAGGGATGACCCCAGTCTTGCTAGACTTGATAGATTCCTTATCAGTGGAGCCTCTGAATCCCATTTTCTCACCTTAATCCAATATGCTTTCCCTGCTTCATGCTCTGACCATTCTCCCATCATCTTGGACTTAGGAGGCCTAATTCTCAAACCTCCCTTCAGATTTGAAAATGTTTGGCTCACTCATCCATCCTTCAAAAACTTTATCCAAACCTGTTGGATATCCTTCTACCACCATGGAAATCCAGTGGTAGCCTTTAAAATTAAGCTCAACCTGCTTAAGAGAAGAATCAAGTAGTGAAGAAAACATATTTTTGGCTCCATCCAAAATTCCAAAAGGATAATTCTTTCTTCTCTTCAAACTCTCGATGCTACCCAAGACATCAGACCCCTTTCTAAGTCTGAAATCTCCTCTAGAACAGTTCTCAGGTTTAAACTGACTGAGATTGCCGAACAAAAGGAAATTGTTTGGCGTCAAATATCCAGAATAGGCTAGTTGAAGGAGGGAGATAGCAATACCTCCTTCTTCCACAAAACTACCTCCTTCAACAAAAGGAAGAACTTCATCCCCAACATCTCTTATAATGACTATATTATTACTTCAGAGGGAGACAAACAAAAATGTTTCCTCTCCTTCTTCAAAAATCTATTCTCTGCCAAGAATCAATCCGCCATCAATGTGGACTGGCCCCACTTAGACCCTAACCCTGTTCAAGGCCTTCTTATCCTTGAGAGTGCCTTCTTCAAAGAGGAAATCAAATATATTATTTTTGGTCTTTATCTTGACAAATACCCTAGTCCAGATGGTTCTTCAATTCTCTTCTACCAAGAGCTTTGGGAGATTATCCAAGAGGACATCCATGCTGTCTTCATTGCTCTTCATGTAGACTCCTCAGCCCTCCATGATATTAACTACTCCTTTATCTCTTATCCCCAAAGTTGAGGGAGCTTGCCAGGTCAAAAACTTTAGACCTATAAGTCTCCTTAATTGTCTATTCAAAATCTTTACGAAAGTCCTTGCCAACAGGCTCTCCCCCTTCTTATCCTCCCTTGTTGATCAAACCCAATCAGCTTTTTAAAGTGAAAAATCGACCTTAGAATCTTGTGCAATTGCACATGAGCCCCTTCACTTTTGCTCCTCTAAGCATATAGAGATCTGTATGCTTAAAATTAACTTCATGAAGGCATTTGACAGCATCAGTTAGTCCTTTATCATTAGTCTGCTTCAAGCTAGGATTTTGGCACCAAGTGATGCCAATGGATTAGTAATATCATCTCCTCATCTGAGTCAGCCATTCTGGTTAATGGTAATCCCACTCAATTCTTCAATTGCTCTAGAGGCTTGAAGCAATGTGACCCCACTCACCTATGATGTTCATTCTAATGATTGATGTCCTCAACAAAATGCTCCACTCCAGCATTGAGAGAGGGGATCTCCCTGAGCTTCACCTTAAAGGTGAGCTCAATAATGTATGCTCTTTTCAATTTGTTGATGATACTATCATCATGTATAGAGCATCAACCCCAGACTTCATTGTGCTTAAATTCATTATGTACATGTTTGAATAAATATCTGGTCTTAGCATAAATTATAACAAAACTAACCTCTTCTATTTCAGCACATCACCTACCAAATGTGCCTTCCTAGCCAACACCCTCAATTGTGTCCCTGCCACCCCACCTTCACCTACTCGGGCATTCCATTGAAAAAGGGAACCCTCACTACGTAAGACTGGCAACCCCTGTTAGATAAAATGTCTTAGAAACTATCCATGTGGAAAGATAACCAACTCTCCATTGGAGGTATACTTACCCTAGTTAACTTTGTTCTATCTTCCCTTCCCCTTTACTATTTGTCCTTCTTCAAACTCTCCACTTGGTTAATTAAAACTCACTTGGTTAATTAAAGCTATGAACATAATTAGAAGGAACTTCCTATGGGGTGGTACAGAAGTCTACTCTCCTTACAAATCCTTGGTGAAATGGAGTATGGTCTGTAAAACTCTAAAGAAAAAAAGAGGGGGGGGGGGGGGGGGGGGGGGGGTTGGGTATTCTCAACCTCCATGATTTCAACTGTACCCTCATCTCCAAATGGATGTGGAGGGTACTTCAAAATGAGTCCTTCTTGGGCAAACTCCTCAATTCTTTGTACTAATCTAACTACCCCAACCCTAGTTGCACACCACCAAAACACTCAGCCTCTAGATTTTGGCGGGATACATCCTATTGTAGTCAGGCCTTCAGGAGTTTGGTCCAATGAAAATTAGGAAAAGATCATGTGTTAGATTTTGGGAAGACTAATGCTTTGGCATTTGTATTTCCTTGAGCTTACAATCTCGCCCTCTCAACTAATGTCATTGTGAAGTCTCAAGGGATCTTCCACAACTATCGGTGGAGATGACAACCATTGACCAGAAGGCTTATCTCCAACATAGAAATCACAGAGGTGAAAAGCTCTTAGAGATTATCTCTCTAACCTCCCCTTTCAACCAAACAATTACAATGATGTGGCTTGGTGGCAGCACCACCTTCTGGGCCCTTTACAGTTAAGTCTATATACGACTTCATCAATGACACTGAAACTCAATTCAGAGACTACAACTTCATTTGGACCTCCATAAACCCCAACAAGTCAAAGTTTTTCTATGAATTCTCCGGGGAATCTTAATACTAAGGTGAACCTTAGCAAAAAAGGGTGGACCAGGGAGACAACTTGCTCATTCTGCAATGAAGCCTCTAAAAGTGACTGAAAGTGATGATCACCTTTTCCACAACTGCCCCTACGTGAAACTGTTATGGGGTTTTTTCTTACCATTCCTATAGACATCTCCCCTACTTCATGAGTTCAACTTCATTATAGAGTCCAATGAGTCATTTTTTGGAAGAAAATAGACATTTGTGGGTTGTTCTATTTTCATCCCTATGTTGGTGTTTATGGAGGGCAAGAAATGATCTAATATTCAGAGATACTGAACTCTCTCCCCGTGTCTTAGTATCTAATACCTCCCACTTCATCATGTTATGGACATGTAACCTTGCATCCAAGAGAGCTATCACTATTCATAGAGTGGTCACCGAGAAGGGCTTACACCAGTTGCTACTGCAGGGTGACTTCTCTTCCCACGACATGGCTGGAGTGGGTGACAACTTCTAAAGAAGATAATTCAGAGCAAACTCTCTTTCGTAATTACTAGTATGTCATATGTGCATTGCACGTGATGCATGATACAGTTATACATTAACATATGGTATTAAGTTAGTTTTTAATGTTAAATTTATATTTTAATTAATAAGTTTTAGGGGTTATCTCAAAACATCAAAGTTTTAGGGGTCCACTCTAATATAGTATCAGCATAAGTTTCCTATAAAGAAAATGACTACCAAAGAGATTGAATGTCCTTATGGTCCAAAGTCTACAATTTTTACGTAGTGGTTTGCTTTAGATTATTAATTTAAGGATATTTTAACATTATCTAATTTCTTATATTGTTAATGAGTACACATCATTTTTATTTGGCCCTCAATATCTTATAATTAAACTCTTCTGTTGACTCTTCATCTCTTCAAACAATTTGATTATCTATCCTTCTATACTTTTTCTAGAAGTTAATCTTTATGCTCATTTTCTCCTTTTATGGGAGTCCAAATCAAAATAGTAGCTACTACATTAGCACACTGTACATAATTTGTATAACTACAAACAAATTCTCTATTCTTCTAAACAAAGAACATGAAGAAATTATTGGTCAAACATTTCTCATATTTAACTTAGTCAAGATGAAAATTGTGTCTTTCTACGTGCATAAAGAGGCATTTGCATAATATAATCTTCGTTAGTTGCTCTAAAACATTGTCCTTCATCATAATATTGCATATGCCTAACTATATTTTTGAGTTGAATATTAATTATATAAAACAAAATTAAGAATAAGTGCTTATCCCAAAATACAATTTCATGAGAACCCAAAAGTCCTCATAAGATAGCTAACATGATAATTAGTGCTTAACCAAAAACATAATGGCAAGAGAACTTAATAGTCATTAGAACCACATAAACTTTAATACTTATAGTTATTGGGGATTATTAAAATTCAGAGTGTATAAAAGGAAATCAAAAGTTTTAACATAGCAATCCTCTTTTATAGTAGTATAGATATATATATAGTTTTAACATAGCAATCCTCTTTTAAAATTGGGGATCATTTCACTCCTATAAAAATGGTTCAGATTGGATCCCTACTGTTTGTGATACTATTTGATACCATATAATTAGTGGAGTAGTCATCAAGCTCAACTCACCTCATACTTTACTACGTTGGTAGAAGATGAGTTAATTGGTAGAAGATATAAGTCTCTCTAACCTTAAACAGCTCTTGTATCAGCATAACCGACAATAATAGTATAATACCATAAGCTCTTGAGTCTTTGATTTGTACTAATCACTAGTGGAAAACCAGGTATCCTTGACAGGCAATCCCGTCAAGAATGCCTAATTTCCCGTCGGCGATATATATCCTTGACCGTCAGCCGTCAAGGATAAGCCGTCAGCAACCGTCCCGTCAGAAAAGAATTATTCCTGACGGGGAGCCGTTAGTAATGTATTTTACTGACGACAATACGTTGACGGCAGAAGCAGTCAGCGATAATGAACCATCGCTGACGGTAACCCCGTCAGCGATATTTTAAACATCGCTGACGGGTTAGCTATCGGCGATGTTTATCGCTGACGACAAGTCGTCAGCAACGAACTCAACAACGCTGACGGCAAGTCGTCGACATTGTTTATCGCTGACGGCATGCCGTCAGCGATAATTTACTATCGCTGACGGTTTTGCCGTCAGCGATAAACATCGCTGACGGCGATGTTATTACCATCGCTGACGGCAAAACCGTCAGCTTTGAACATCGCTGACGGTTTACCCGTCAGCGATGTTTATCATCAGCTAAAAAAATATTGCTGATTACACAATCAATTCCCTGTACATACAAATCTGCAAACAACGACATTTCGATATATGTACAATATTCCAAATTTCACAAACATCTCGCATCCATTCAATTTTCACAAATATTCAAAATATGTACAATCCAAATTTCACAAACATCTCGCATCCGAATAATTTTCACAAACATTCGAAATACGTACAATCCAAATTTCACAAATATTTGGCATCCATTCAATTTTCACGATACATTCTAAATCCACAAAAATTTCCACAACAAACCATACAAGCATATATCTCCAATATAAAGATGTCCAATATACAAACACGAGTTTAGGATATAACTCATTAAGATAGGTCATCCGCCCTATCCATGTCATCGTCCGCGTTGCCACTGGCGGCTCCATCCCTACGACTCGTGCTCCCAATAGCATCATCTCCACTCTAACAACAAAATAATTTAAATTTAGAATCACATAATATTGTGTGGAATCATGTTTTACATATATAATATGTATACATGTCTGCTACTCTCTCCACTACCAGTAAATGCCTTTTGAGAGGCCAAAAAGTTCATAATCTGGCTTTGCACCTGAGTAGGAACCCGCCTTCTACAAGATTTTATTATTTGCCTGGAAACCATCACAAAAGTAGCAGCAGGGTGGATCAGTTGCATAAGCTCCTCTTGAATATCCTCCCACATCTCCTCGGGAATCTGACCATCTAAAGTATTCATCAGAGGAAACAAGCTGCATCTCCTGCTGAGTGCAATCCTCCTGCGGCATGTAAGAGGGCCCCGAGGGCATAGTCGATGGCGTTGAAATCAACGGAGGCTGGAATGGGGTACACACCCTCTGAGTTCCAACTCCCATCCACCTGGTCCTCCCCTTTTTGGGAAGTTCACAAACTAAATGGCTCATATTATAATTCTGCTCTCTAGTCAGGGGCTCCTGGCTCTGTGCAACAACCTCAGCATATGTGTTTTCCAGAGCTTCCTAAAAGACAAAACAATGAATTTAAGAGCTAAGATATTAGAAGTTCAGTAAAAAAAGAACAGGCTAATAAGAGCTAAGATATTAAGTAATATTAGAAGTTTAGTAAAAAAAATTAGATTATATTTGGAATGTATGTCATTTTAATTTTTTGGGACAGTCTGAAATGAGAAGAAGAGTGCAAACAGTAAATTCCCAACAAAAGAACAGGCTAATAAGAGCTAAGATAATTCAATAATTTTAAGTAATAATTAATGTTGAATTAGATAACCTGCATTTTCTTGGTCAATTGTAGTTTTTGTTTCTTATTCTCATCGTCATCGTGCCCCTTCTTAAAGTGAACCATCGTCCTTCTGTGCAGTTCTGACAGCGGGATAAAGGGAGCGTTCTGAGATTTAAAAAATTATTTATTAGTTTTATTTATCAAATATTCTAGGAAGCGGAGAGAATATATATAGAAGATTAAAAGACTTTATACCGTTGTCCTACAAAATTGATCCTCAATCTGGACAAATGAAGTAGTCCCCGTATAATGATCATAATCTTTCTTCCATCGATTTAGTTTATTTCTCTGACATTTTTTCTTCAATACGAACAAAGAGAATTTTAGTACAAGCTATAATATATAATAAAATATATCACTAGTTTCAGATAAATAACTTGAATCTAATTAACTACTATACATATTTACCTGGTGCTCCTCTTGGCCCCACAATACTATAAGTGCAGCTAAATGCTCAGGCTCAACCCTCTTATCTCACTTGTATATCCTCTCCCAGTTGTGACTGAAACAATCATAGCATTTCTTCTTTATCTCATGTCTCCACTCCCGAAGAGAATGCTTGAACTTTCTCATGTATCCAAATAAAAATTCCCACCCTACGGGATTGTCTTCGATGTTGAAATATCTCTAAATATTAACATATAGTTAAGCATGAAAAATTGACAGAATTGTAAAATAATTGATCTAAATAGAGTAATTTACCCAACAATCTCGATATATACTCTCTAGGACATGAAAGGGCTGCTCCTCAGCCTCATAATAAGGATTCACATTACCACTCCTCCTTATCAAGCATCCAAGATATGAGCTAAAGTTATTAGCCCATTGCCCGGTTGGAACCCCATTATGTCCCCATCTTACAATTGCACGAAAACCATCCGTTGGTAACTTTTTTTTAAAGTCACTTCTCTGGCGTCCTTTTTTCTTGAAAAGTTTTTCTCCTACAACAAATAAAAAATAATAAATATATCAACGCCCTTATTTAATCAATCTTAAGCTCTTGGAATTTAATTTATTATTATCAAATACTCAAAATTTTTTGATCAAACTCACCAAATCTTTGTCTGATTTTATTTTTTGCATCAGATAATATCTCATCAGAAAACCCCCCTTATTTTGATCTTCATATTAGGAAAGATAATTAAACTTAGGTGTCAACATTAAAACCCATCAATATCCAATTTTGAACTGAAGAATCAAAAAAGGACAAAAAATTACTGCTTGGATCTTCTGCATTGCAATCCAAGAAAACGTAAGACCCGCTTGAATCTCCTGCACTGCAATCCAAAAAATCAAATCTCAAATCAGAAACAACAACAAAACCTAAAATCACAACAAAAAAATTTTAAAAAAATCACTGACAGAGAGGTCGCTGCGAGTCTGAGCGGGGGCGGTGCCGCGGCGAGCTACGAAGTCGACTTGGGTTCGGGGCCTCGGCGCGCGGGTGGTGGAGTTGGAGAGGAATAGCAGGAGGTGATGGCGAGGGTGAGGCCAGA